CTTCTTCCCATGTAGGCTGATGAGGCTGAGCATGGGACCTGATGGACGTGTGTCTACCACACCTCCTGCCAGGCGGCCTTTTTGCTGTCCATGATGTGGACGAGCGCCACGATGAAGCGAAAGTAGAAAAAGCGCGGGCTGACCGGCTATCGTTGAGGTATTTCACCTCCCTGCTATAGAGTAACCACTTCTTATCCCAGCTGGTTGTATTTGCGAGAAACATCCTACATCCAATGGAAGTGCTGCCATGTCTCCAAAGCAGTTGGCGCGACTTGCGCAACTGTGAAGTTGCCTGACGAAGCCCAGTCTTGATTGGCAGGACCAGAAGAAGTCTAAGACCATAGCCAGTATCTCTGCCATTTTCTTGCTATTCTGTTCGGAGTGACCATTAAAGTTGGCTTGTACAGGTGCTTGGTAGTCGGCATGAATCTGCTACCGCCAGCTAGGTGAACTCGCGAACGCCATCACGTTTCCTCAAGTCATCACGTTCCGATTGATCCGTCACTTCATGTGACGCATTGATGTGCTGAATGGTAGGGGCCTTTCAAAGATCCGTTATCTTTCAACGCCTTCTAGGCAAACACACTGTTACGGCCTCAATGTCTCTGACTTAGATCGTTAGTGTGGATACAACATCAAATTAGTCTCCTGAGCACTTCAAAGCGACATATCAGTCGTCGTCAGTCTTTTCAATATCTTCTCTATTATCACATCATTGTGAGTTCGTTGGTAGTAATCGCAGTACCAGCGTAGCGCAACAGGATACCGTCTGGGTCGATGTGAGCAAGACGGACCCTCCTAAGTACGTGCAAGCCAACATAGGTCTTCAAGTATTATCACTCAGACGAGGGCTTCAGCAGGGTGAGGGAGCTAAACAGCCTCCTCTGAAACTGCGATGATATCAAAACTCGCATATTTCGCCGCTGTCGTACCCCTCAGCCCGAAAAGACACCCACGCCCTTTGGCTTGGGAATTAAAACATGATAGATATTGGGTCACAGGACAAGGTATACCTGTCAGATCGCCAGGTAATTCAGTCCACTTAGTATACTCATTGACATCACGCGCATTCATACTTGAAACGGTAGTTTCCTTCAACTCTCGCTGGATTCGGATTGTGGGTACTAGATAATAAGGAGGGACATGAATTGAACTAAGCAGAAGGCTCCTCCCTTGGGATACAAATGATATAAAAATCGTGATAACATCCAATCCGGACACCAGCGAGCCCTGTTCAGCTTTCACAGGCAGAAAAACAAAAAGCCAAGACATTCGTCTCTTGAGAAAGACAGGAATATGAAAATTGCAAACGCCGGACACAACGAAATTTTGTCCACGACCACACAGGTGCAAAAAGGTATCAGGTAAAAAAGTGTATGCACAATGTCGGTAAATCGTCCTCCCCATCGGCAAAGAGAGAGAAAGTAAATTCTCTTTAGCCGCTTGTTACTCCGAATGGAGTAAATCAAAACCGCCAAAGATAGTTCTTCAGCGGGTACCGCCAAGAGCGCTGATGCGTGCTCCAGACGGACGGTGGATCAGGCTGTCGGTGTGCTTACCGACGGTCTGCTGAGGCATCGTCTCGGACTCGCTGCGATCCTCCTCGAAGTCCTCATCATCCTCAACAATCTTGGTAGGGATGTCCTGATGGATCATATACTGCTGACTTGAGCGCTCGGGAGTTGCAGCGCTGGAAGCGAAGGACATCGCTGTGCTACTCCGGTTGGGGACCAGGTCCGGGGTGGGGGGGATGCTGGATATCCGACCAGAAGCAGGGTGAAGGAGGCTATCTTCGCCCATGTCAGATGTTGCGTTTGACTGAGTCTCGTGACCGTCATCGCTGTGGGTGGCGGAGAGGTTGCTGCGACGGCGCTGGGCGCGAAGGCGGGCCGCGCTAGCAGAGCGCTCATCGAAGTCGGCGTCTTGGGCCAACTGCAGGCCCTCAACGGCAGCCTGGCATTGCTCGGCAATGTTTCTAATAATGTGCGCGATGGCATCAGTCTTGTCCTTGAGGTGGCGATCGGCCACATCCTTGAAGCTCGAAGTGGAGAGCCTCTTGTTCGCCTCAGCGGCGGCAGAGAGGAGGCGGGCCTGGTTGACGTCGGCTTCTCTGGGAGTGATGCCATCCTCACCCATCTCTGGCTCGAAGCCTTCCTCGATTTCGTGCGCCAAGTCATCGGGCTTGGTCAAAGATTGAACCAGATGCTCCATGTGATGGCTCTGGCCGCCAATCAAGCTGCGCAGATGCAGCACAACACGGCGAGCCTCGTCACGCTGTCTGAGGATGGTGACGTTGGTGTGCTGAAGAGCAGCAAGCTCCTTCTTGTTCCGCTTACGCTCGCGCTCGAGTTCCTCGGCGATCTCCTGTTGGAGGACCAATGCTTCGAGAGCGTCATCACGCTGCTTCTCAGTAGCACCGAGACGGACATTGAGACGACCGTTGTCATCCTTCTGCTGATCAATGAGACCTGCAAGGCGTCTGTTCTCCCTCTTGTGAGTTTCGATCTTGGCCTTGAGATCCTGGGTCTCCTTGGTGAGCTGTTCAGCAAATGCCTGGAACTTGAGGAACTGCTGCTTCCAGCTCTCCAGCTCCTCGTTGAGATAGTTGTTGCGTTTTGTGACCTTGTTGAGCTCGGTATCCATGCGGCCCTTCAGGTTGATGAAGTCCTGCCAAGCCTCGAGAGCATCACGGGAGTACTGGTTTCTCTCGCGGACAATCTCGTTGAGATGTCTCATCGAGACCTTGGTCATCAAGGGCTTCTTGACGGAGCCACCAAAGACAGCCTTGATGCCCGTGTTGCGGCCCATCTTCTCGCAGACATGATCCATGACGGCCATAACAGTATCCTGGTTCCACCATTCGGGATCTTGGATGGACTCGACTTCTCCACGCATAACAATGATCTGGCCGGCGGGGACGAGCTTGCCGCCACCGTAAGCGGAGCGGAGATGAGGGGGAACGCCGGAGGGAGTCACATCTCCGTTGAGAGACTGTGTCAGGCGGGTGACGAACTTGTTACGCTGGCTGGGGTTGAGTGCGGTCGGGGGGCTGGAAGTGAGAACGAAGTTGCGGTCGAGGTCAACAACCAGAGCATCCGTTGGCGCGGTGAACAAGGAGCGGCACTCGGCCGTGACACCGAGGATATATGGACCGGGCTCCTGAACTAAATCCTTGGCATGGCGAGCATGCACAACTGGGACATAGAGGCCACTCCATTCGTAGACGCGAACGCAGTATCTGACAGTCTCTGCAGCCATGGTGAGCATGGCCGGGTAGTGACTGACAAAGATGATGCGACGAGTTGGTGAAATGGCGGCCTCAACGACACCCACAATGTTGGGGATGGACAAGCAGCAGAACAGTGGCCACATGGCGAAGTTCTGGAAGCCAGTAGGCGACGAGGGGAATTGGTAGCAAAGAGCATAATCTTTCATGTCAATGCGAACCAAGTCGTTGAGTCTCGGAGCTGGAAAGCTGAGAATGCGCGAGACCTCCTCGGCGTGGAACAAGTTAGTAGCCTTGTTCCAGTGGATCCACATGCCTCGCAAGTAGTCTCCAAGAAGGTTGTACAGCGGGTACCGAGACAGGAACGACAAGCAGTAGGGAATCCAGTAAGTCTCATCGGGGTTGTCGTAATAGTCTGGTTCAGTTCTTTTACGCAGATCCCGAATTGTCTCGGCCCTCTTCTCGTCGGCTCGCGACCATACGCGAAGACAGATTCCATACAAAGTGTGGGACGAGTCTTGCTGCAGAACGAAGGCATGGTGGACGCAGTGAGGCTGGCTGCGGCCAGTGCAGATCTCAACGTCGTGGGGAAAGCAAGCCTGTAAAATGTCAGCCACTCAAACTCTAGACAAAACTTATGGCAAACAGCCACTAACCCGCATGGCAGCGTGCAACGACCTGGCGATCTCGTTGTCTTGCTCCAACCTCGGGCTGCTTCCAAGAATCTCGGGCAGCCAGAATTGACCAACAGCGCCCTTCATGTGGCCAATCTTGCCCTGTGCAGGGGCTGGGGCCTTGACCCATTGCGAAGGTTCTCTGCCAACACCGCATACCATGTAGGCGTGAGTAAGCGTCTTTGGGGTGCGCTGCTGGGGCTTCGCATTCAGGGTCGAGGGAATTGGCTGGGTGATGCGCGAGTGAAGGGAGGAAGTACGGCTCGGGATAATGAGGTTGTTGTCTCCCTGATCACGGGTGGTAGGTCGACCATCGCGGTCGCCGGTCCGGGGCCGGGTGAAGGACGAGTGTGCGTTCAGCGAAGGCGCCATTTCGTCGGTTATTAGTCGTCGTTAAGAAAGAAAAGTTATCTTGAAGTTATATAGGTGGACGTGAGAGCGAAGGAGAAGGTGACGAGGTGGTTGATGATCCGGGCCACACACGAGCTGACCAGCGTGTCGAAGGAAAAGGGCCTGGCTTGATTGGATGAATCAAAACACGGCAAGGAAGCTATCCAGAGAGCAAGCTCTCGTCAAGGAGTCGTCGGTCGAAGGAGTTGCTCAAAAAGGCGCCATTCGAAGGAGCCTCAAGGAGCAACTTGAATTGTCTGGTCTGGTTGAGCGAAAGTTGAGGCTCTAGCACAGACTACTTGGTTGACTGACTGACTGACTGCTCGGTGACAGGTGGGGAGAGAAGAAACAAGAAAGGAGAGAGGGAGGAAGGGAAAGAAATCGGAGACGAGGCAAGAAGAGGCAGTTCCAGCTGAGGTAAAAGGGGAGAGTGGTGTCCAGGGGGGGTGTTTGAATAGGAGGACGGGGAGGGGGGAGAAGTGAGGGCGAAGGAGAGGGTGTGTGGGAGAAACAAGAGGCAGATGGCGAGAAAACGAGGGTGTGCCACTGGCGGGCGAGCTAAGATGAAGCGAAAGGGGGACCAAGCACCCGACGCGAAGCTGGAAAGGGAAGTGTACGGTCGAGCAGCAGCAGCAGCAGTAGCAGCAGCAGCACGGAGTGTCCACCTTTGGTGTAAAGGCAGGCACAGGCACAGGCACAGGCACGGCAGGTCAGAGGACAAACTGTGTGGCCGTGTGTGCGTACGGCGGGGAGCAGGCAGAGAAGAGATGGGCAGAGACAGGGGCGAGGACAGAAACACGGGCGGGCAGGCCAAGAGATGTAGCAGCGACTTTCCATTGAGAGCAGCAGGCCGGGGGACGGGGAATTAAGGTCTGCAGCCAACGTGCAGCAGCGTACGCAGTAGTCAGGTTCCTGGATGCAGGTTCCAATGATGTACCTTGGCCGGTATTCTTAGCGCATCTCAAGGCAGAACAGCGTGGGCAGATACCTTGCCATGCCGAGTCCTGGGGGAGCTCACTACATACAACCAACCGCAGAATTTGACGAGTACTCCGTATCCATACGGATAGGTACCTTACCTTACAGTAGAAACCACGGGGCCCCAACTCAGCAAGGAAACCTAAGGGAGCAGTAATGATATAGGTAGTGCTAGCCTGAGTGAGTTGCCTGCCGGGACATGAAGCCACAACTACCTCAGGTACCTTACTGTGTAGAAGAGGTGATCAGGGAGCACTGTGAGGGGAGAGAAGCACGGAGAACAGCCGTTCGCAGGTACAGGCGGGACACAGATGGGGCAGAGGACGGGTGTGCAAGGGGGCATGCAGCGCAGTGTTGCGGTACCACTGTTCGACAGGGGATAAGGTGAGGTGGGGTTCAGGAACACGCGGACAGGGGTCACACCATTTGCTCAACTTTCATGGAAGGAAGGCTCCAACTTGATATCTGCAAGGTACAGACCAAGTACCGCCCAATATACATTCTGAGGGCTGTTACTGCTGACGTTGGGAACAAGAGGGGCATTGTGATGGGCACGCCAACCACGCGCCAGATGGAGACGGCAGCTTCACGGGTCGTCAAATTGAAGTTGCTCCATGGCGGCGTGGCTCTGGCAATGGGGACTGTTCCGGGGGTTTGACTCTTGCAGCAGCTGCTGTTACATTTCGGGCTGGAGGCGGGCATGGCATGATACTCTTCCATACGGCACCTTGGGCTCCTGGTGTTTGGAATTGGACAGCGCTACCTGGCTCGCCTCACTCACTCGCACTCGCACTATTCGTGACCCAAGGTACAGACAGATACGCAGGACGGCTACGGATACAGGATTGTATCGAGGTCGGTAGAGGATGACAAGTGAAGCCGATGCTTGCCCAAGCTAAGGGCCAGTTCAAAACTCCAGACAATAAGAGGACCCTGACGTGGAAAACCGTTTCTCTCTCTTTCTCTACTATGTATTTTCCTTTGTGTACTGAGTGAGACATTACTTCGTACCGGCTCCGCTATGCGCCGCGACGAGGAAACGAACCAGTCCAGTCGATCGACAAAAGCCAAGCAAGTCCAGTTAGAGCTTCCAATAGCTTATTCGGCTTCCAAATCCCGATTCTCACTGAAAGCGTGACATTAACCTCGATATGAAAGTGGCAAACGCGACACATGGCAGCTGGAACAGGGGAAAGCAAGACGAACTCATCCCATCAGTACTTACCAACCAAGCCCCAAAAGAGCCAAGCGTGATTCGGGCAGCTCAGACAGAAGAACCGTTGGAACGAGCGGTTAAAGGAAGACAATAAAAGACAAAACGAAACAAAGCCGCTTCGGGCAATTTGCTATCTATTGGGGCGCTACTTACTTTTGTTACTTTTGTAAATAGCAGCAACAGCAGCAAAGGACCCCAAATTCCAAACTACTGCAATTCGTGCAGTAAGTAAGCCCCTCAAAACGATCCGATGGTCGGTCGAATCAGTCGCTTCACAAGTTCAGCCCAATCGGCAGAAGCAAAGAGCTAATTTTTATTTTATTTTTTTCCATTTCCATCTGACACTCGACACCGGCCAGAGAGCCGTCGAGTCGTGTCTTTGTTCTCTGCCGTTCCCGTTGGCTCCGGGGATTGCAAGCCGTCAAGCCTCTCAGCAGAAGCTGCAGTTGTAGCGGCGACCTAGACTCCTTGACTCCTCCAGAGATTCAAGTCGACTCGTGGGAGCCCGCGAAGATGTGAGGAGCTAGCGTGCACTTGTGAAATACTAGCGTCATGCGGCGCCGCGTTAGCGGCTTCAATCTCTGTCCCTCGTTTTTCTCCCTTCTTTCCCTTCCATCCTTTGGTGTTCGTTCGCCCCAATCCCCTCGATGACTGAAGAGTCGTGGCCAAAGGTACTTTAATCATTCTCTTTTTGACAGTCTTCTTCTGCTGTACTCCGTATGTACAGAGTAAGGCATATTCTCGTCAGGTCCCATCCATCACACGCACGGGCCTCTCCTTCCAAAGAAGAAGTGGATGAGGGAGAAACCCCCGGTCAAATCCAGAAAGACCCTTGCCAAAATCTGGACCTTCCTGGTCGTTCTCCTAATATTGGATCTCCACCTTTGGCTGGTGGAGACTGACGATCTACAGCCAATGACAGTCACAGCTGGCGCCGCTCAGTACCAACTGCTCTCGAAAGAAATTGGCAAGCCTCGTTTGGAAATTCTGTCGCCTCTTCCTCACCACAGTCCCACGGGATGATTGGCGACTACACCAGTTCCCTGGTTTATTGGGCCTAAAACGATGACAGCTACCTGCTTTGGGTCGCGATTGTCGTCCCCGGTCTGAAGCCTCTTTGTCAGTGCTGGCATCGTCTTACCGTCCGCCAAACCCTTCACGTCTCGCTCTTCTTGGGGCGGCGCCCACTTTCGCCCTCGTCTGTACTCCGGCGCGCCGCTCACAGATACTTTCTTTTCGCCTGACGAGCGAATGGGGTGTGTCGTACGAAGTACTTGGTGGACGGACCGGCGATACGGTAATTTTTTTTATGGTAGGAACGCCTCAAAAGTTTGGACGGAATAGCACTCTGCTGATCCGCCTGTTCTTTGGCCAGGGAGATCATTAAACATCAGCTCGATACGATTATGCAATTCCACGCATAGCATGCTGGGCAGACCTTCCGACACGAAGGTCCATGTTACGGTGTTACCATGTGCCATGTCCTCCGACAACGAATCATGACTTTGACCCGTCTCCATACAGCACTTTCGATGGCACTCCAGCGCAAACGTAAATCACCGAGGGAAAAGGCATCCGAGCGGGCGTGAGAACCCAAGTTACCCAACGTGCGGCGTACATACCAACTTTCCACTGTTCCAGCCGTGCCAGCCATCCTGCAAAATAACGCGCACAAAATGCAACCCTCAAGGGGCCTTCTCCAGATGGATGACGAATTCAAGCTCAAGAAAGATCATCTGCCGAAGCGCTCAAGCCCCATCTCTGATCCCCCCAAGACACGCTCTCCTTGCACGGGTCGTCCCTGGAGTCTGGGACGGGATAACTCGACAGCTCCTGGTCGCTCCTCGGCTGGTTGGCTGAAGGGGTGTCCACGACCAACGAACCCAGATCGACGCACCTGCAGCACATCCCACACAAACAGAGGCTTGAGTGTTTGACGAGGGGACAGATCCGTATGGGTTGCTGCACTGTTGTGCCAGCAAGACGCGGCCCTTGATATAAGAATACTGACATTTTTCACTATCACTGTGTTAGCGATAGCTGTCGCACATACTCTAGCACAAGCGCTACGCCTGTCAGCCAGCTGCGAGCCATCGGGCCTTAGCAGGCGTATAGTGCGAGGAAATCATGGCGTCCACGCTAGGCCCCGGGGGCCGAAGTGGGCGGTTTGCCGGGGCGGGGACTTGGTCTCATGGCACCAAGTCTCTGTTCAGTATCTTCCGCGACGCGATTCATCTGTGGCGGCTTCGCATTTTCTTCTATCAGGGGCCTCCTTGGTTCCGCGACGGAGAAAAAAGATCTCAAATCAAGTAGGCCGGGTTGCGGAACGACTGGAGGCTACGGGAAATGGGTCACGACAGAGGGCAGAAGAAGCAGAACACGCCGAAAGCCCCGCGACCCAGCCCGATGCTGCCTTGGTCTACGGATACTTGAACGGCGATCTAATTACCTATGGCTTCCGCCTGGTGGAGGCAAAGCTGTTGGTGCTTGGCATGAGATTGTCAGTGCAGCCTGCAAAGTATCCATACACTCTGTCGCCGGACATCAACGAAGCGCCAGCCGCGCTAACGAATGGGCCTCATCAACAAATGGCGTACAATCTTTGCGAAAGTGGGAGCTGCTCACTCTATTTAAACAAGGTGTTTGATGGACCGCAAGCACCCGTCGGGATCTCTCCAGAGAGACAAACTAAAAAGGACTAGTATGTACCAATTTACCAACTGCTGTCTGTTGGTGGGCGCGGTTTGCTTCCTCGAACCCATGGATGTATGCTTACTTATCTAAATGTACCAGATATATTGAAATCTGCTCCTTCACTTCCAGAAGCTCAGCACGTCAATCTGTCTCCCGTGGCCTGGAACTGGAGGTGCCCGCATATCCACCAAAGCCAGCCATACGCATCATCGTTCGAACAAGCCGTCCAATTGTCCTGAAGCCTCGAACTCCGCCTGTCATTTACAGCAGACGCGGCCCGACTTGCACTACCGCCATTGTCTGAAAAGCGCCACATCCATCAGGGCGCTTTGACCCGCCGCTCTGGATACCAGGAGAATCTGGCAGTTTGGGTGACGCTGGCACGAACCTGGCTGGCTCCTTCGGGGCCGGAGCACTCAGCGACTTTAGATATCTCGTCCGTGTTAAGGCCTGGCTACCTGTATTAATGGCCCGCATAAAACGCAAGCCGTGGATCTGTAACCCGAACGATGGTCCCCCACGGGCCGGAGACAGGTCCAGTTCCATGTTGCTCCGACTTTACCTGGCTATACGGCGGAGACTTTGGTGCTTACAGTCCTAGAGGCTGGGAGAACGTCCAAAGAAGGGGGGATGGATCGTGAATCTTTTTTGAGAAAGAAGACTTCCACTACTCTTTGTCTTTCACTGTTGGTGGCCCCAGCTCTCTTCTTGCAGTTGCAACTTGTTGGTACCGCCCAGCTCTAGATCAATTTGCACTTGTCAGCTGCGCGCTCCACCGAAGAACCGACCTGGACCTGGTCGTGATCTGAGCACGAGTCCCGAGGCCCTGATCGCTGTCTTATCTCGTACATACGCACCGCACTGATTCACTGAGGGTCAGTTACATACAGCAACAGCAACGGGGCAGTTCCAGACTGCCAGCTCCCCATCTTGCTGAATATTCGACAGCGGGCTCTCGGGCGATCCCCGTCTTCTATCTATCTGAGGCTGGTTTCGATCTCTTTGATCCAAAGTCCGCATGTGGGCAAACACCCTACCCAAATCCACTTAGTCCTCCTGCAGGCTGCAAACACCGACCGTGAAAGTGGTATTAGGTCAAAGTCTCCATCCGCATCCCTGGCTCTGACACCGTTATTGATGAGAAACCCTGGTCTTTTCGGTACGTACCTACCCGATTGTGCCGTCACTTCGTCAAACGAGAGAAGGGAAGAAAAAGAAAGAGGGAAAAGGCCCAAACGCGGTAAAACAAGATTAGAGAGAGACTTGCTGCCGAGAACCTCAGAGCTCAAGGCCATTACAACGCCTTGATCCTGAAATGTGACTGTGATGTAGTCAGCGATAGGCAGCATGGTTCTCGTCTGCGCAATTTCATTTGCAGCTCGAGTTCCTCGAGTATACTACGTATGTGACAATTTGATCACAATGAAACTTATTTCAACGGTCACGCCCTTCCCGGTAGCCCCGGTAGCATGGGCAGATGGACGATATGCCCAAGCCTTGCTAACCGCTCAATACGAAGTACCTCAGCCCATGATAAATGAGGTCTTGGCGCACTGTCCCTCGAAGCTGTGAGCCGTCATTTCTTTGAAAAGGTGATAAGAGGTGGTTCACTTAAACCTTGACAGTCAAGGTCAGCATTTCGTATCTCCCGAACAGACCGTGCGACGAGTTCGTCCTGAGGTGTTTGGAAATCAATATTGACTGCGGCCAGGAGCCCCAAAAAATCCGGTTCGTTTCTCGACGAAGAGCCTTCGTTCGTTCGAGTACCCCCCGTTGTCCTCGGGCGAGTATCCCATGGGCCATGAGTCATCTCTGAGACTCCCACGCTGCGCGGATTCTTGGCCTTTTCGATTGCTGGTGATCTATCACCTGCGGAAGCCTTTGTCAACATCACATCGTGTTGCAATATCGGGATCCCCGGCCAAAGTCCAACTATGCTTCGTGACTCGACGTAGAGCCTTCGCTGGCTCAAGCTTCGGATGTTGACGATATCAAACCAACCCAACAGGCACCAACAGGCACCAACAATATGCCGAGAGGGCACTAGCACTTGCGACCAAACGGCCTACCGTAGGAGCATGAATTCTGTCTCCGCAAGATACCGAACCCGTGCCTTGTCCGCGAGTTTCTACCAGGCTTGGCAACCGTCTTTCCCAGCCAGCCGAGCCGCGCGATCGACACGGGGCGAGACTCGTGGGCCGGGAGGACGGCGCGATGCTATTCCAAGGCAGGACGGTTTGCTATGCTGGTCTAGGAAGGTTCAACGACGGGGCTACGGCATCATTGCTAGCCACGGACGCTCCGTGGTGGGAGTGGTCGAGTCCACGAGCTGGCCCTGGGCAAAAGATCTAGACTCATGTTTCGAAACAATGAACCTGAGCAACCGGCTCTTTGCATCATCGAGTCATTCTCGGAGACGAGGAATTATTCTATTGTTTTTCTTCGGGCAAAGCCGTTTTGATTCCACTTACCGACGACACTAGCGGGTATTGGTAGAGGATTTCATCTGTAGCGGCACGAGTCTGATCAAACTTCTGGTTGAAAGGCCTCTAGTTGACGAAGCTTGCGAAGCTCGTGGAGCTTGATGAGGCCACTTTGGCCACCTATTTGTGGCGCCTCTATTTTCTTTGTCAAGGAAAAGATTCAAAGAAGTCAACCATTACAAGGCCGCCTCTAGGAACTGATTCATCAACAAAACCACCCTCGTCCAGTGTCGTACGGAAGTTTCAAATTCATCAGGCGAATCTTCCCAAAAACCAGATCGGTCAACTTTTCCCAGTTTCGGTGCCATTGGACGTACCGTACCCGCCAACCTTTGGCTCGGATCATGTTCCATGAAGCAGTAGCCGGAGCTCAAACACGTTGCAGGTATCCTATGGAACACAATGGCTTCTGTCGAATTATTATGAAGCCAGCTTCCAGCGCAAGTCCAACACCAGAATTCCCTCCTCCCATCCCCGGCCATGACGGATCGGATGCGGAGATATTATGGGGCCGTATTCTGCATACGAATCGGAGCCTTCGGACCTTGCCCCCTCTTTTCCCGGGACCCGAGTCCGAGCATCGAGATCAACAATATTGGACCGCCGCAATTTCGCGCTTGCCAGTCAGCCGGAGCGGTCAAGAGGCCCTTCGGCTATGCAAAGCAAAGTCAAGGCCGACGAGCCCAGCCAAGACTTGCGAAGTGCCGCATTCCCATCGGGTGAGGTGGCGAACTGGTCCTCTTTTTTCTTCTTCTTTTCCCACTTACGTTGCAGAAGGAAGCGTTCCTTCCAACAACTGAGGTGGATGGCACACTTCCAAAATGCTGAGTTCCCACGCAAGATGCAGGGGCATCCACACCCGTCCAACATCTGTGGGAGGAAAGCGTGTGTGTGTACGGATGCCTACTCGCCTTCGCAAGGGATGGATGGGACGGGAGGCGAGTGCTCCCTCCCGCCTCTGCACACCTTTGATGTTATGTCTCTCCTGAAAGACTAGCCCGTGACGTTGGGAGCGCATTCGCGCCTAAGGATTATGACGATTTGTCGCAGACTTACAGAATGACGAATTCGAAGAGGATTGCAAAACATGACAGCAGAACACGAAAGCCAAAACAATGCCTTTTGCTCCCGCGTCATCCGACCTTTCGTCAGTTCCTTCCAGCATCTATAGCTTCTCATACTGGCGAAAAAGGTGCCGCAGGTGTTCACGTCACTTCTCACTGTCATGCAGAATGCGACGCAAGAGCTCTCAACGTTGAGGTTGTCCCTGCAGGTAGGCGAGACATTGCTTGACATGTGAATGTGGGCACATGTGGCTGGTGCAGGTGGAGACAATTGAGAGAACGCTATCAGGGTACAGGGAAGGTTCGCCGCCTCCCCCCCCC